AAATGTAATTTATCAAATTAATCGAAATCATTGATTATTTTATAATAATATCTTCTGATGTTGGTTCATCTGCTCAACGATTTATGACGTACTACTTAAGCACCATTTTCAAACTACGTAGGTATCTATTATATTATATATATGTACTATGTACCTATATTGTATATATTTATTATAATAGGTATTCTACACAGGTAAACAAGTTATATATGATACTGTATATAGTATTGGGCAAACAATCTCCACCTCTGAGTTGTGTGTAGTATTTTGCAAATATTTCCCGCTCCATATATTATAACTTACAAGTAAATATTGTACATACTACCATATAGGTATATATAACCGAATACACACACACAAATATATATAATTTAATGTATGCATATATATGCTATATGTGTATTTGAACACTTGACGAACAAACTTCTATAACAGTGATGGGGGAAAAAAGTTTTGTTGATTTTGCCATAAATTATTAATTCTACTGCTATAATACTGCTGCGGTCAAAGATTATGAGAATTTCGATGAAAATCCTTTTTTATTAAATTGTTAGATTTTAAAAAAAAATTTAGATTAATTAGTAAAGTCTGTGTTAAGTATATTATCAATACAATTCATCCATATTATATAAGTGCTTCAAACAGAATATTAAATATTTCAATTGAAAAGAAAGTAAGTAAAAAAAAAACCAGTGAGACACATTGGTGGTAGAAGTGCAGATCAACAAGTTATAGATTATCGGGAAATACACCGGTGGTGGTGTACAAGGGTTTGTTTGAGATGGAAACAGGGGTCATGCGCATTCCCCCCTCACTCGTATTTTTTTCTAGATGATTTAAACCTAAAAAAATGCCTGTCAGCTGTATTTATTTATTTAAAAATAGGTAATTTACGATTTACCGATTTACAGAACAATTATTAATTATAAAGTAATGTTTTCGTATAAATGGTTAAATCTTAAATGAAAATGTATTTATCAATTATCATTAATTATTCATATTCTCAAAGAATATTATATAGCTCTAGGTATAGAGTCTAGGACACTCACTGATAATAGAAGTAGCTATATTTTTTCTTTTAAGATTTATAATTTATTTATTTATCTTTAAGTCCATATGAAATGTGCCTCTTGAGGTGAAATGAGTCTTATCAAATTTAATTTAATGAGATTATTGAAAATCGTGAAACCAAAATTGATTTCCACAACAATCATTTAGAAATTAATTAAATTCAAAAAATGAGATGAATCTTATGAGATCATTTCAATTTTCCAGAACAACCAGATATTCGGTGTTATTATAACCGTGATGCACCTTTGCATAATACAGGTGTTGTAATACAGGCATGTATACATTTTTTTGGAAATTTATTAGAATATAAGATTGGTGTCCATGTGCAACAGTGGTGATGGCGCCGATACAATATGATCTTGTGTGTGGGGGGGGAGGGTATTTAGTATTGCACTTGCACAACCTAGCTGTAATTTGACGGGGTAATATGGAATTGGTATACTTCCTGGGTCAAATAAATTGTACGAATTGGTTACCTACCAATATGTACAAATCGGTAATTTCATATTCTTATGATATTTTATTAGGTTTTACGATGTCTAGGAAAGCTTGTAAACAGAATATATCAATATCTAATACATTGATGAGAAAGAAAACTATTAAAAAATTGCTACATTTTGAACTTAGAATTCGTCAAAAATAAATGTTTTATATTATGCATATTTACTTCATGTCCTCATTAAATAATAATTTTTTTTTAAATATTATTTATAGTACTTAATCGACCGACTTATTATGATATAATATATTATTGTCTATTGATATTATTATTCTATTATTATTAGCATTGGCAAATACATAATAGGTATGTAGGTATATAAACATTTTACCTATAGCGTATAATAGCAACAATTTCAATCATACTTAGATGGCTAGGTGTTTTAGACAGTCCTAATAGTCTGTGTACAATGGGAGGGACATTTTTGTTGATTGAATATTTCATAAAAATTTGATAAATTCATTTAACATAGTTGTATTATCATCATGAAACCTCGACGGAACCAATTAATGTGTTATCATAGAATTCCGGAACCAATTGTCAATTAGCAATAAATTAATATATTATGTTACCTGTATAGAACCAGGGAACCAACTCAAAGTCTCCATTTGCGAACGAAATTAAAATAAATATCTTTTACGGTGTTTACCTATATTATAAAACACTTTATAAAAACAATATAGGTAGGTATTATATATCCCACAAACACTCCTCCTGCAACTCCTTGTTTAAAAACCACGCAAGTATGCAAAATACTACTCTTAAAGTTGTGATCTCATTTTATAGATCAAAGGTAGCTAATTCCTAGGACTATAGCTAGTATTTATGTTTAACGCTTAAAATTATCAGCTAAGAAATTTTGACTTAACTTGCGGAACTTTAACACATATTTTGATAACGCATTACTATTTCGTAAGAGTTACCCTAGTAGACGTATATTATTATTATTATTATTATGTATACCGATTGTCCCTAGTCTCTATAATAGGACCTATACTCATTATGCTATGGATTTTTTACCTTTTTAAACTCAAGTAGTCCATTTTTTAGCAGATTATTTCAAGATAAATGATTGGTATCTATAGTTTAAAACCTTAGCTAGGTACCTATGAAATGATATCACAACTTTTATAGCCTTTTTTTTTTCACACGAAGTATAGCGGAATGTTTTTGTTGGAATATCGTTCATTTTTTGATAATACCTTATTGTTTCGTGAAGATATTGGTTTTACAATGTTATTTTTTCTTTTATTTTTAATTAAGTTTATATATTTTTTTTGTTTGCCATGGGTTGAAGATTATAATAGTAGGTAATAGTAGAAATTAGTATTTTTTTTTTTTTTTGTATATTGGTTGCTATAGGTGTTGGATTTTGCATTCTAATGCTGACCGCAGAGAATATTACCTAAATAATAAAATATTGGAAATTCACTAAATAATTTAACAACAAATGTACTATATGCTTTCTCAAGAAGTTTCTTACGTGAATCGTGTTGCTTGCTATAATTATAGTCCGGCAGTTTAGCGTGTGTCTTGTCTATGTAGGTATTTTAAGACGCTCTTTTCTTTTTATACTTAGCGCTACCTTGCCAGGTCGTTGGATATATTATGTGAACCACACGATTTAAGGTATATTTATTTACCATATTAAATTGTAGTACATAATTTAGAAGGTAATACCTAACTAATACCAGTAAGTGTTATAATTTATATTTATTGAGTTTTATTGTAAGAATAAAACAATATTATGTTAATCAATATTAAAGGGAGGAATAAAATGATATTATAATATAGAAATATCGTAATCCCCAGATATTTTTATGTAGGTAGGTACCTACTACAGTCTACAGAGAATAATTGAACCAAAAATCATTACTTCCAATAATTCAGTGCGAGACTGCGAGAGTATGTGAAGTATTGAAGTTACCTCCATTATTCATCAGATTCAGGTATATAGATGTATAAATAGTGTCGACTATACCTAATCTTAAAACTATTAATCATCCACATAATTATGTGGATGGCGGATCCTTTGACAGCTGGTGCTCACACTCAAAACATTGAAAGATAATGGCTGGATGCGATAACTAACGGAAATTTTGATAACTAAATTACTGGCACCAAAACGTCCCAAACACACTTTCTGTTTTATTTTTTTAGTAGCTACACTAATAGACAATAGTACAACCGTACAAGACGTGTAAAACACAGCAGCGATATTATAATGTAAATATATAATAATTTTCTTCATTATCGTTCATTATCGTTTATTTGAAATAATTTTACCCATGCCTACTTGTTCTACCTATTCTATAATAATTGCATACCTATTATAATGACATTTTGTTGGAATCTATAAAGTTATTTATTTTGGCACCTTTCTTTTTATATTCCGATTGAAACACATCGTTTGAAAATTCGAAATTTTCCATTGTATTGTACTATTGACGTTTTCGTTTTTAATCTTAAAATACTTCAATAATAAAATAAATTATCACATTTTTCCATTAACTATTTGAATTTCATACCTATTACATTTTTACTTATGGAGTATTAAAATTTGTTCTCTGATAGCATCTATGAGATAAAAAAATGATCGGATTTTTAATATTTTAGTTTAAAGTAACGGCGATACCCGTAGGCAGAAATCTATTAAAATTTCATGGGGAGGGGGGGTAACATTATTAACATCAATGTGAGCAGGAGGGCTTCGATCGTACCAAGCTAAAAAAAAGGAGGATACTTGACGGACTTTTATGGGGGTGAGGGGCTAAGACCTCTCAACCCCCCTCCAATTTCTGCCAATAGTGATACCTGCTAATTATGCATTTTATAATTGTGATACTGTACAACAGTTATATAATGCATATATCATAGGTGACATGTTGCATCTTTGGTATTGGATGATTTGGATGGTTAATTAGACTAGGAATGACTAATATTAACAAATTGTTCATAATATAACTTAGTATAAAAACCCAGAAAAATATAAAATCCAGAAAAGTGATTCAATTAATCGGTAACATCATAAATATAGGATTCGGTTTAGATTTTTCTTTTTGGGTTCCAATAAACAGTTAATTCTATTAACCAATGATTATATTCCAAGACTCACTGTAGTTATTAATTGTTATAATATACCGTGGATTTAAATGATATAAATACATAAACATTGAATTATTTTCAAATTATTTTAATATCAATAATGATAATAGTGTTACATAGGTATCAAATAGTAAGATTTTTCAATGGGTAGTTACCACAAGAAAATTAATAATTTTATGAGTAGGGAGGGAGAAGTAATAACTAGTGAGATTAAAGGTAATTATATAATAAGTTATTATTATTAATATTAATACTTAAACAAAAAATAAATAATTGTTCAGCGGTTTCAATAAATGTTATAGTGATGCTATGCATGTTCAACCATTTAGAATGTCAAAACCACAGCAGATTCACCAGCAAGATTCAATAGGTTGCTGGCAACTTTTAAACTAGAACAAAAAAAAAAAATAACATGGAATGAAAACTATTATTACAAAAAAAACATTATCTGTAAATATTCTAATGCCAAAATTTCAGTTATAAAATGGTTTTTAGTGTCTCTAGATCAATAATTATTGTGGATCTGTAAATTAATATTTTTATACCCGCCGCGGAATAAGAAGATGACCGGTGGCGCAGTCAAAACAACTTTCTCCACGCACCGCTTGTCTTTGCGACCACTTCCAGGGGTTTTGGGGAACCAATCAAAAACCGGCTGTGCGAAACGGACCCAAAACGATCCGCCGCGCAGTCATCTTCTTATTCCGCACCAGGTATAGATCTAAATCTATTTTATTTTATTTGTATTGTTCATAAATTTATATCTAATCATATATAATTAATTTGTAAACTTTCAATTAATTATGAAAATAGTTAACTCTCTTCTTTCAACACAAGACTATGTATTTAAATTTTAGGTATGAAATTGAGAAGAATTAAATTAAAAAAAAAAAACAGATAGTTCTAAATTCTTTGTTTTCAATAACCAAACAATAATATATAATTTAATCTAGTAGGTTATTTTATTGAGGCTATCGAGTACCAATGAAACCAATTTAAATATTAAAAATTATTTTATTTATCACAGTATTAATGTTTTTATTAGTAAGAAATAATAAATAGAAAATCAGATTTTAATGCATTTACATCTTATTTTATGATTGACTGAAACAATACATTCCAAGCTAGAAATGTGTTTAAAGTGTTTCTAAATCATCTAACCAATAAATCAAACATAAGAAGTCTTTATAGTGGAAATACATTATAATCATTAATCGGTCTATTATTTATGTGAATCAGCTACTAATTTTCACAGAATTAATTTCTGTAAGTTATTAACTCAATGATAAATTCTCTAATTATTAGAAACAATTCTTGTTAAAATAGTTTTAAGTATTTCAATATAGCACGTATGAATAAACTCTTTAGATAATATTAATACATAAATACAAAGTTCATTGCAGAAGATTATAACATATTTATGTATCATATTGTATAATATAATTTGTAGTATAGAACATTAGTTCCACAAAAACAAATATCTTATATTTATTTAAAGAGACCTTTTAGAATGAACCTAGAATTTATCACAAATCATAAATACAATAATTCAATTTTTTACACTAATTAAGATTGATAATTAATATTATCAATAATCATTATCATTTAAAGTGTAATCATAATATTATCATACTTTTATACCTTAATATATATTATTAATCCAACTCATTCAAAATTATTTTGATACACAAAAAAACAACTTTCATGAATGATTAAATATTTATATATTTAATTATATATATTATTATATATATTATTATATTTAATTATTTATATTATTATATTTTTATATATTTATTTATATACTTAATTATAATTTATAAAATATACAATATCAGATTTTTATCAATTAAAATATTATACAAGAATACAAGTTATCTGTCTGTGATAAGCAAAGCATTTTAACAAGCAAAATAACAGTAATAATCAGCCAAATCCCATTTTTTCAATGTATAAACATGTTATGAATATTAAGATTCAATTTATTAATTTTAATAATTTTAGTCTTTTTGGAATTAAGTCATCAATATTTATTTCAACTAACCTTATTATATAAATATCTTAATTTATATATCTATATAAATAAAATAATAACTACAACTTACTTAGGAGGAGGAAGTATGGAGCACGCAGTCTCAGTGCAAAGTGACAAATTTACTTCTGATGGAATTCCATCAAATTCTTTTGTCAGGTTTAGAACAGTGATATTTTTACTTAAATTCCATGCAAACAAAAGGCTTTCTGAACCACTCATTACCCTAAAATAAATCATATAATTTAAAAATAAATATAATATTGTGATGCATGAATTTTTTTACCTATCGAAAGCGAATACTTTATCATTATTCAAAAGTTTGGCATTAAAGGAACCAAGTTCAATTGTAGGCATTGACCGTAATTTTTTTAAAGTACTTTGAATTAATGTAACATTTGGTATTTTGTTGTTTTCAAATAGTTTAGAGTCAGCATTAATAAGTGGTATACCCGGTAACAATGAACCGAGAATACTAAATGCATCAATCATTTCATCATTTTTCCAGCAATTTGGTTTATCAGTGCATACAAACTAAATCAATAATAAAATGCATTAATATTTAATTCGGAGGATAAATAATTTTTAACTTACTTCCCAAGAAGACCATGAAGTAGTTGCTTTAGGTAAAATTGCATTAAACAATTGTTCTCCAGTGAAATCAGATGGCAACTTCACAGAACTATGAACCATATTTATTCCTTTAATATCATTAGAATCAAGGTCGCTCACAATCAATACTCTGAAATTATACATAAAAAAGCATTTAATTAATAATTAATTAATCATTGCAGTTTTTTTATACAATATTGCAAATATCAAGATTTAGAAGTATAATTTGTTCATAATTATCATTTTAAAACAAATAAATATTATTTTACAAGATAAAAATAAAAACAATTATTATTAATGTTTTAAAACTAAGTTATTAAAATACAACAATTAATAACTTACTCATTCAAATTGTGACTAAATTTTGCATTTAGATGGCTCTCTAACAATATAACTAAAAAGCTACAATATTATTTATTTATTTTTATTTTTATTTAAGGCTTCAGCAACAATACTATTTAGTATTTAACAACCATAAAATATAAATCATTCTTAAATAATATGTACACAGATATCTTAATAGATCTTTTAAAATGTTAACAATGCATATATTTGAGTGTTATAAGAAAAGATAAATTAACAATTTTTATGCAAAAGTTTGGGTCTTATAATTTTTTAGGGAATAGGTACATTTTAATAAATTTGTACAATATAATTTCACTTACCCAGAATAATTTCTTATTAAATTGCCCCAGCGTGATAACAACTCTTTGGTTTCTGGAAGGTTAGATGTCGCTTTATGACTAAAAGAATCATACTTGTTGGTCATATTTGGTGCCGTTGTAATAGTATCATTTTTAAAGTCTTTATCTTCAAACAAATATTGAACTTTATCCAAATACAATCCATCAACGCCTATATCTAACCAATGCTTAAACACTTTCTAGAAAAATGTACAATACAAAATTAAGAAATGTTTATAAAAATATAAAAGCAAATTAAATATGTACCTCAAAATAATCTACAACGTCTTCATTGCGGAAATTGAAGTCAGGATTTTCCGCAGAGAACTGGTGAAGATAAAACTCCTTTCGAACATCATTCCAACTCCAGGCTGATTCTCCAGTTACACTCAACTAATTTAACAAAAATATTTAATAGAATATTCAAAAACAAACGAAAATACTAAAAATTACTAACCCAATTGTTAATAGGATAATGATGTGTACCATCACTAAAACCAGAATTCCAAATGTAAAAATCTTTGTATAATGTTTCTTTTAGGACTGATCGTTCAAATATCAAGTTTAACCTTGAAGAATGATTAGGAACTAATTTCAACATCACTTTCATACCTAAAAGAATGTTAGAGTAACTCATTTTTAAAATATGTTTTAGTAGATAAATATGAATGTATAATATACCTTTAGTTTTTAAATTTTTAACAAGATTTTTCATCGAATCTTCATTTCCTAAAGAAATATTTACTTTCATGAAATCTATAACTTCATCTCCAACAGCTTGAAACACAGATGTCAATACAACATGTTGTACACCCAATTTTTGCATGTATTCAATTTTTTCATCAAGACCTTAAAAAAAATGTTAATTATAATGACTTACTAATAATTACCTAAATTACTATTTTAATACAACGAGCAATATATTAAAACATACATCAAGCCAGTAGTATGTCTTCAAAAACTAGAAACAAAATTAAATAAATTTAAAACTGTAACAACATTTTCAAACTAATTAGGTATACCTAACCTCTGGGTAGAAGATAGGCTAATTTAAAATGGATTAAATTTGTTTTTTTTTTTTATTTATCAGATTTTAGTATGGTTGGGTTAGAATTTTGTATTAATTGATTATATTAATCGGCCGTAGGTGGAATTAAGTAAAAACAATAAACTTGGTATAACTTTGGTCTTTGATACTCTAGAGTTAAATCATACACTTATGTACAAACAGCACGGGGTTCGCAATCTACTGCAGGTACCTGATAATATACTGCTGCGAATCAGAATTTTTATTCCGGGCAACGGCAAAGTTAAGATAAGTTTTGAACACCATACACGGAATATTAAATAACGAATTGAACAAAGTGTGAGTCATAAAAAGTTGGTACATTTAAAGGGCAACGAAGTGCACTGGATCAGCTAGTATTTTATATTTTAATATAACACAGTATGAACAGTTTACTATTCCACCATTCAAAATCTCATTAAATTGTCAGACATATGATGACAAATGATAACATTATAATATTAACCATAAATAAATCCCTGAATTAATCCTAAACTAAAAACAGGGACGATTACTGTAAAATAAAATAAAATAAAAATATGAGAGGTCAGACTCGTCTCATGGCGCAACGGTCAACAATAACCCCCACTAACTTTCCAATCTTAACGTATACAAAGAACAGTTGTTTCTATTCATTACTTCAACTAATCAACTAGATATATACCTACCTAAAATGTTGTATGATATTGGTTTAAATAAAAATTTAATTACAAAAAGTAGTTAGCAAAATTTGTATATATAATTATATATGCACACTCTCCCCCTCACATTAAAAACTTTTAGCGTCAGCCCTGAAATATAGGTATTTTATAAATAATTAAAAATAAAAATACTGAGTTACCTAGTATAAAGCTGTTAGCTCAACAGCCTAAGTTGTAATGTTTATAAATAATGTATTTCCTACATACATATATTTGTCTACATAAATAAATATTAATTAGTAGGTACCTTAGAGTTAAAATGAATAGCTCAATAAATAGGTAGGTAGATAGGTTTATATAAATATCTATAAATGTAAATAAGTAGGTACCTATCACTTCTATAAATATTTGTACTCTAATATTTATTGATCAAAAATGTATTGTTTGGAACACTTAATATATTCCTACCTACTTATTGTATATACCTATTTTATTAATCATTTTATGTTACACAAAACCATTGACAAGTGACCACTTACCATTTTGGCTGACAAGAGAAGCTGTGTTAATAATGTAGACTGGACTCTTCTGATACCATTCATGCTTAGAAGTCGAGAAACACTTAGGAGTCAAGAATATGATGAACAATGCACCGAACATCATGGCAAACCATGAAAGCCAAAATGTAACAAACAACAACCATCTGAGTCGCACCCAGAACGGACTGTTGGCATACTTCATGAGTTCTTCCTTACCCATGCCTGCGTATGCCGTTTCTGTATGATCGGCCAATTCCATCTTGCTTAGCTCATCATACTTGTCACTTGTACTATCCACTTTCTTTTTTCCCTCCTCCATAAGTTTTTCCACTGCTCCATCATCTTTTTCCAACGACATTACGAGCTTCTGGAAAATGTTTAGTACGTACAAATTATTAAGTTCAAAAATGTAATTTTAAGAATCAATGAACACGAAATTTCCTTGCAACAAACGTACATCGACTTGCGACAACCACGGACCAGTGATTACGCGATTATTCGATTGTTGTTCAGTCGAAGAACTAAAGAAAAGCGATCACTTACAACGAGAGAAGAACCCGGAAAGATAGACCACGAGCGTAGTCCGTCTCACAACTTCAGCTGAGATCAGCAACTGACTCCTGAGCAACGTAATTACTAATTACTAAATAATAGCACAGAATAGAATAATAGGTAGGTGTGTAATAATAATATATTATAATATTATATTGATCGCAATTTGCAAAGAATGGTTCTTATCACAGCAAGACGCGAACGAGGAGATAAGAGAAGATAACGCTGGCGAGCAATGGACGGACCATAGGGTATTACTCTATGGGACATACGGACACTTCACTCAGGTTGAACCGCTGAGATAGATAATAATAATATAATATTATACGCTCGGACTCGGCGATAAAAACGAGCCGTCGCATTTGACGTTACCCCCTCCATCGAAGGACAAAACATTTCATTTTTACATAATATGAATATACGATGGACCATGGACGTGTTAATAATGCTTTATTAATTATTTTTGTTTATAATCACTGATCTATTTACTCATATTTTCTATCTTAGTAAGTTCCTCAATCCTCATAGTTTTTTTAATTTTGTGATTTTTCAACGTCATTGTAGGTACTTGTTAGTTGTCAGTTTGTGAGTTGTGACATTCCACAGTTTCACTTCCACAATTAAATATTTACATCTTATAATTTTATGGAATTTAGTATTAAATAAATATAGGTAACATACCTATAACCTATTTTACCTAAATATTAATATCTAGACACGCGGTAGCGTGTCAAGCCAAGTTCTAGCTAACAGAACTGGCGAGCAGCACCGTGTGTAATATTACACGAACCATTTGGAGCCACTTTTGACCCCCTCATAACTCAAAAACTATTCCACATAAACATGTCAAATTTGGCTCATATATTGAGACTAACGAGATACATATGTGCTCTAAATTTCATAAACACACTTCAAACCGTTATTTAGATATTAACGTCCGAAAATCGTCATTTTTATCACTGACTTACCTATAGATCAAAATTCTAACCCAGTTCCAGATGACCTAGAAAGTTCAAATTTGGCATACAGATAGGTAGTTAGGTAAATACAAAGGAAAAAATCAGAAACTTGAAAATTTTTAATTTAAAATTTTTTAATTTTTAATTTTTAATTTTTTAATTTTTAATTTTTTAATCAATAATTTTGAAATTATTTTATCTATTATGTTTAATTTTTCAATTTATTAATGAATTGCCTCTAATTTAATGTAATGTTGACTTAAATAACCTTTCCTGTATCGCCGCTCCAAAAATACGACTAGCCGAATATGTGTCGATATTGTCTACCCGAGCGCAGCAACATACTTTTTTTTCTATCTATGTATGTAATTAATATTATTTTTTTTAAATATTACAGTTAAAATAATTAAATAATTATTCTTACAAATTATGAATTATCCACCCAACAGTAGAAACTACAGTCAATAAAATTATGATAATTAAAAATATACTCAAAAAGAGTTAAAATAATTGTATATTAATTTTACATATATTTTATCCTCTGTATATACAACGGAAAATATTTTATAATAAATATTATTATTAATATTAGTAACTGAATTATATTATATAGTAATAAACTTTATTTATAGAATACGTCATGGCTAGGTTAGGTTAGGTTATAATAATTTACATACAAAAGTAATGATATCCCACCAAAAACATATATGTAAAATGAGAGCCAAGTTCAATACTATAATATATGCCTTGGTTGTTGGCTTCAACGACAAAAGAAGTGAGATCTAAATGGGTGCCAAGTTAGGATAATATATTGAAGCCTAAGGTCTGACTTGGCTACGAATTATATATTATAGCATTTGCAAGTTCTAAAGCTTTGAATTCTTATTTTATTCTTCGGAAAATCATCTTCACTCTTCCATTACTGTTTTAGTAACTAGGTACTTATAATAATAATTCGTATATGAAAAGTAGCCAAGTCACACCTTAGGCTTCAATATATTATCCTAACTTGGCACCCATTTAGATCTCACTTCTTTTGTCGTTGAAGCCAACAACCAAGGCATATATTATAGTATTGAACTTGGCTCTCATTTTACATATATGTTTTTGGTGGGATTTTATATACAGATATCCACTTAATAATTCTGAATTATTTAAAAAATGGTTAGTTGAAGTTAAAAGAAATAATTTTGTACATAGATTTAACTTTTAAGTACCTACATAGGCACATAGCTTATTAGTAGTGAACACTTTAAGTTTTAAAATTATCAAATTCGGCCTGGATCAACCATAAAATGTTTAAAAATGTATGCATTTCCATATACCTATCAGTGGCGTATTTACGGGGGTGGTCCAGGGGTACTGGACCCCCCCCCAGAATCTCTCCAAAAAAAAAAAAAAAAAAATGTATTACATATTTGCAGACCCCGATATTTATGTAAGCACACGCAGACAAGGTTTTTTCCCGTGAACAAAATATTTATATGAAATATAGTTTAAAATTAGCACTTTATAAAATACTTTAAATACTTAAAATACTATATAAGATAAACATCAATAATTCTCAAAAAAGTCAAAACATTCTTATCGCAAGAAATTGACGACGCACATCATTCTCCAATAAACTATTTCTATAGGACAGTATAGGTGGTAGCTATTATTTATCTATTTAAATTTTTGCTTTGTAAACACGGCAATTGTCGTAGAATCATTTACTAATTACTTCATGTTTGTATTTTGTTACCGAACGACGGCGTCGGCTACGAGTGCATGTATTTGAATATTATTTCTTCAATAAAATATATTAGATCTATTACAAATTACCTAGTAAATTAGGTAGTAAATAATAATAATAGCTCATTGATCCGATGTGAGCAGTAAAGAATTTATTATTTTTTATAATAACATAAAACATTAATGTAATTTTTGGAGTCAACTGGCCGACAATTAGTATTCATTTAGAACCATGTTTACCTACTTAGTATTTATTTCCTATTCAGAGATTAGCAGAGTGATATGGACGACTGTCGTCATAAAGTCATATTTCTACAATTTAAACCTTTCATTATTTTTACGTGTTAACACGAAGTTGACAACATAATATTATTTAACTGCTATCGAAATAATATTAATTGTCAACGTGTGCTGAGAATAATTATTGTCTCTCATTTGTGATAGGTGTAAATACAGATTTGACAAAACCTAACATTTCATAATTATTTAATAAATGGTATCGAATTTATTTTTTTATTTTTTTTATAGTTGTATAATTTATAAATTATTTGTATCTATTTATTGTTTGGAAATTGGAATTGGAATAAATATGTCTTCAAATAAAAAAATAAAACTTTGTAAAAAAAGACACTTGGATTTTGTACTTGAAAATTATAAAATATAATAAAACAACTATTTTTTATTCTTCTAATCTATTAAAAACTATTTCTATATATCAGTACCTATCTATATTATGTTGGAATTATTGGACCACCCCCAGAAAAAAATTGAAAATACGACACTGATACCTATAACCTATATATTTAAGGTAGATAGCAGGAAAAACAAAGAAAAAAAACCATTATTAGCATTTTTATATTTTAGATTCTGAGTGGAACGATGAATGTATTGATTTTACAATGATGTGTGTGTTTTTTTTTAAATTTTTTAAATTTTTTTTTTGTGTCCGTCATCACTCATCACCTTTTAGGACAGTAAAAGTGCTTGGATTTTCTTCAACAGTATCTTTTCTGATGGAAAGTGAATCTATAGTTGGTACTTTGGGGGGTCAAAAGTAAAAGTTCCCAGTAGTTTTCAAAAGCACCGTGAAAAACAAAAGAAAAATTAAGGAAAAACGGGAATTTTTATGCAAAATCGGTTTTCCACAAAATGGTTTTTGGTGTAACTTTAAACCAAATGAATGTATATACATGAAATTTTCACTGGTTGTTTATATTTGCATTTTCTATACACGATGAAATTTTCAAAATAATATGATTTGTTTTGAACTGCTGTTTAGGAACATTTTCATTTTCCATTTTTTTTTAGTTATGTTTTCTAAAAATATCAATAAAATTTTATTTGTTGGTTAAAAAAGCTTGAAAATTTAATAGAAGGCTCCTAGTATATTTTTTCAAAGGCAGATGAAAATTATTAAAAATCCTTTGTCACAGTTTTTTTTTATAAGCATTTAAAGATCGAATTTTGACAAAACGTATCAAATTTAAAATTTAATAATTATTTTGTAGTTAGTAATTTATAAAATGTTCAACTTTTATATCTAAGGATTGAAAATTTAAAACAAGATTCCACGTAAGTAGTTAATTCTGTTACCAAAAAATCTAAAAATACATAAGCACAGTTTATTTTTATAGTCATTTTAGGTTCAAATTTGGATGAAATTACATAAAATTACATTTATCAACTTATTCATTTTTTTTTATAACAGCAATATTAATATTTAATTATTTCTAATTTAACAAGGTATACTGGTCTGTTATCAGCAGTTAATCGCCCAGCCACAAAAATATATATGAAAGTGTATATTAGTTAATAATTAGTATATACAATATTACATAAGAAATAAGATAGATTTTATATATAGATTACTGTTACATACGGGGTGATTCAAAATGTATGTTACAATAATATACTATTTTAAATTTTTTAGTAATCTATATACAAAATCTGAATGTATTTTTTAAGAACAATTATATATCTTATTGTTGGGTTCCATGAGCAAGCTACTTAAAATATTAAAGAATCAATTATCAATAGTGAGCTAGTGGTCCCTGCTTAAAATGATTTAGTGGTCCATGATTGGTTGGTACATTACATTTTATTGAACGATTAA